AGAGAGGGATGTGGTACCCAGGACACGGTAACGGCAGGGATGCCCTAAAGAGAGGGATGTGGTACCCAGGACATGGTAATGGGAGGGATGCAGTAGGTAGGATGTGGTAAAGAGAGGGATGTGGTAGCCAGGACATGGTAACTGGAGGGATGCGGTAGGTAAGATGCGGTAAAGAGAGGGATGTGGTACCCAGAACACGGCACAGGGATGGATGTGGTACCCAGAACACGGCACAGGGATGGATGTGGTACCCAGAACACAGCACAGGGATGGCTGTGGTACCCACAACATGGCATAGGGATGGATGTGGTACCCATAACACAGCACAGGGATGGATGTGGTACCCAGAACACGGCACAGGGATGGATGTGGTACCCAGAACACGGCACAGGGATGGATGTGGTACCCAGAACACAGCACAGGGATGGATGTGGTACACAGAACACAGCACAGGGATGGATGTGGTACCCAGAACACGGCACAGGGATGGATGTGGTACCCAGAACACGGCACAGGGATGGATGTGGTACCCAGAACATGGCACAGGGATGGATGCGGTACCCATAACACAGCACAGGGATGGATGTGGTACCCAGAACATGGCACAGGGATGGATGTGGTACCCATAACACAGCATAGGGATGGATGTGGTACCCATAACACAGCACGGGGATGGATGCGGTACCCATAACACAGCACGGGGATGGATGCGGTACCCATAACACAGCACAGGGATGGCTGCAGTCCCCAGACTGGGGCTGTATCCATATCCCAGTCCCCATTCCCAGTCTCCTCCCACAGCGGCTCGTGGGCCCGGCTATGGGCTGCTCTCCATCCGTGTGGACGGCAACGACGTCTTCGCCGTGTACAAGGCGACGCGGGAAGCGCGGCGCCGCGCCGTGGCCGAGAACCGGCCCGTGCTCATCGAGGCCATGACCTACAGGTACCCCATGGGGTGGCATTCCCAGGGCTTCCCAATCGTATCCTGCTCTTCCCACCCCAAATCCCCCTCTTCCTACCCCAAATCCACATTTTCCAGACCCAAATCCACATTTTCCAGACCCAAATCCATGTTTTCCAGACCCAAATCCCCGTCTTCCCACCATAATTCCTGCTCTTCCCACCCCAAATCCCCTTCCTCCTGACTCAGATCTGGATTTCCCAGACCCAAATCCCCCTCTTCCTACCCCAAACCTCTTCCCACCATAATTCCCTCCATTCCCACCCCAAATCCTCCTCTTCCCACCCCAAATCCCCCTCTTCCCATCCCAAATCTCGCTCTTCCCACCCCAAATTCTGCTCTTCCCACCCCAAATCCACATTTTCCAGACCCAAATCCCCCTCTTCCCACCCCAAACCTCTTCCTACCATAATTCCCTCTCTTCCCACCCCAAATCCCACTCTTCCTGACTCAGATCTGGATTTCCCAGACCCAAATCCCCCTCTTCCCACCCCAAATTCAGCTTTTCCTGACCCAATTCTTGCTCTTCCCACCCCAATCCCCCCCATCCCCCCCCATTCCCCCCATTCCCCCCCATTCCCCACACCATTCCCGTCGCCAGGATCGGGCACCACAGCACGAGCGACGACAGCTCCGCCTACCGCTCGGTGGACGAGGTCAACTACTGGGATAAGCAGGATCACCCCATCTCCCGCCTGCGGCACTTCCTGCTCCGCAAGGGCTGGTGGGACGAGGAGCAGGAGAAGAGCTGGCGGAAGAGCTCCCGCAAGATGGTAACGGATGGGGATGGGGATGGGGTGGGAATGGGGATGGGATGGGGATGGGGATGGGATGGGGATGGGGATGGGATGGGGATGGGGTGGGGATGAATGGGGTGGGAATGGGGATGGGAATGGGGATGGGGTGGGGATGGGAATGGGGTGGGAATGGGGATGGGAATGGGGTGGGAATGGGGATGGGAATGGGATGGGATTGGGGTGGGAATGGTTCAGGAATGGTGTGAGAAAGGTGGGGGAATGGGGATGGGGCGGAAATAGGGATCAAATGGCGTAGGAATGGGGATGGGATGGGAATGGGGTGGGAATTGGGATCAAATGGGGTGGAAAAGGGTAGGAATGGGGTGGGAATGGGGATGGGAATGGGAAATGGATGGGGATGGGAATGCGGCAGGAATCGGGTGGAAATTGGGATCAAATGGGGTGGGAAAGGATGGGAATTGGTTGGGAATGGGATGTGAAAGGGGTGGGAATGAGTGGGAAAGGGGTGGGAATGGGGGTGGGAATGCAGCAGGAATGGGGTGGAAATTGGGATCAAATGGGGTGGGAATGGTAATGGGTGGGATTGGGTAAGAATGGGCTGGGAATGGGTGTGAAAGGGATGGGAATGGGTGGGAATGGGGTAGGAAAGGGTGGGAACTGGGTAGGAAAGTGTGGTAATGGGGTAGAAATTGGGATCAAATGGTGTGGGAAAGGGATGGGGTGGAAATTGCAATCAAATGGGTTGAAAAAGGATGGGAATGGGTCAGGAATGGGGTGGGAATGGAGTGGGAACGGTGATGGGAAATGGTGGGAATGGAGCAGGAATGGGATGGGAAAGGATGGGAATGGGGAATCCTGAGATGTGGGGCGGGATCAGTGGGATCCAGATCGGAATCACTGGGATTGGAGCTTCCAATCCCTTATGACCCATCAGAACGTTTCCGACCCTGTCTGGTCCCCCCCGGTCCGATCGCTCCCGAACCTTTGCGATCAGCTCCGAACGTTTCTGATCCCTTCAGACCCACGCCCTCCAAACCTTTCCGATTCTCTCCGAACGTTTCCGATGCTTTCCGCCCCCCCATTCGAACCTTTCCGATCCCGTCCGAACGTTTCCGATCCCCCGCATCCGAAAGTTTCCGACTCCTTCCGAACGTTTCCGATCCCTTCCGACCGTCCCCCCATCCGAACGTTTCCGACTGCTTCCGAACGTTTCCGATCCCTTCCTACCCCCCCTCCGAACGTTTCCAATCTCCTTCCGAACGTTTCCGATCCCTTCCGAGCCCCCCATCCGAAGGTTTCCGACTCCTTCCGAACGGTTCCTATCCCTTCCGACCCCCCCCCATCCGAACCTTTCCGACTCCTTCCGAACGTTTCCGATTCCTCTCTACCGCCCGCATCCGAACGTTTCCGATCCCTACCGACCCCCCCCATCCGACCGTTTCCGACCCCTTCCGACCCTTTCCGATCCCGCAGGTCCTGGAATCGTTCACCGCCGCCGAGCGCTTGCCCAAGCCGGCCCCGCAGCTCCTCTTCTCGGACGTGTACCGGGAGCTGCCGCTTCACCTGCAGCGCCAGCGGGGGGCGCTCCAGCAGCACCTCCGCCGCTACGGTCAGCACTACCCCATGGAGCTCTTCGAGAGCGGGGGGGACCCCCCCATAGACGAACCGGAGACCCCCCAAATACAGCCCTGAACACACCCACACCCCCCCATAAATGGGCTCGCCCAGCGATGCCCAATAGGGGGGAATCCCCTGAAACAGGGTCCTAAACCCCCCCCTATGGAGCCGCAATGGGCTCGCCCAGCGCTGCGCAATGGAGGTGGGTGGGACAAACCAAGTGTAGCACAAAGGGGGGGGGGGTTCCCCAATGCTATCAATGGACACAAAAGGTTCCCCCTCCCCCTTGCAGCGCAGTAGTAGGGAAGGGAAAAGGGGGTTAAGGGCAATAAATTGCGGGATAATGGTGGAAAAGGGGGATTGATGCGGAAAAAGGGGGGATGAACACCAAAAAAAGGGGGGTTGTACCAAAAATAGAATTTTACACCCCCAAAAGGGGGAATTAACAGCAAAAAGAGGGGAATGAGGCCAAAAACCGGGGATTGGTACGAAAAATGGAGGAATTTTACCCAGAGAAAGGGGAATTATCAGCAAAAGGGGTGGAGTGAGGGCAAAAAAGGGGGATTTTTACAAAAAGTGGAGGAATTTTACACCAAAAAAGAGGGGATTAACAGCAAAAAGGGGGAAATTAGGCAAAAAAAGGGGGAATGATGGCAAAAATAAAGGGGGAATTAAGGCCAAAAAGGGTGGAATTAACGCTAAAAAAGGGGGATTTCTACCCAGAAAGGAGGGATTTTACCCAAAAAGGGGGAATTTACACCAAAGAAAGGGGAATTGATGTCAAAAAATCGGGAATTGCCACCTAAAAAGCAGAAAATTCGTTGCAAAAAGAGGGATTATAGGAAAAAGGGAGATTGACACTAAAAATAGGGGGATTTATACCAGAAAAGGAGGAATTTTACCAAAACAGGGAATTAACACCCCCCAAAAAGGTGGAATTGATACCAAAAAGCAGGAATTGATGCCAGAAAGTGGAAATTGGCACCAGAAAGGGGAAATTGAGGCCAAAATAGGGGGAGTAATGGCAAAAAATGGGGAATGAATAGCAGAAAATGGGGAATTAATGGCAAAAAATGGGGAATGAATAGCAGAAAATGGTGAATAATGGCAAAAAATTGGAATTATTTGCAAAAAAAACTGGGTAGAGTGACAAAAAATGGGGAATAATAACAAAAATAAGGAAATAATGGCAAAAAAGTGGAAATACTGGCAAAAAGGGGGAATTAATGGCAAAAAAATGGGGAATGATGGCAAAAAAGGGGGAAATAAGGAAAAAAGGGTAATGGCAAAAATGGGAATGAATGGCAAAAAAATGGGGCATAGTGGCAAAAAGGGAATGAACGGCAAAAAATGGGGAAATAGTCACAAAAAACGGAATAATGGCAAAAAATGGGGAACTAATGGCAAAAAAAGGGGGAATAATCGCAAAAAAAGGGGGAATAACGGCAAAAAAATGGGGAATTCATTGTAAAAATAGGGATTTAAGGCCAAAAAAGGGGGAATTAACCCCCAAACGTTGGGAATAACCCGTTTGGGGGCTGGAATACGGTGGGAAGAGGGAATCCCCCCAATCCCGTCCCTTCCTATAGGGAATTCCCCCCCCCCAATCGCTCCCAATGAACACCCCAAATCCATGCCTTTAATGCGGGGGGTCCAGGACCCGTTTATGTTGTACCGGGAGATGGGGGGGGTGTTTCCAGCTCCATCCCCACAATGCGGCATCCCGGGAGCATCTCCTCCAGCAGGATCCGCACCAGGCCCGGGCTGGATACGGCGAGACCGGTCACATCCAGGTACCGCAATTCCCTATGGGATAACGGAAGCCATTCCCATAGGGATCCCTCTTCTTCTTCCCCCCCCCTATGTAGTCCTCCATCTTGGTACGTACCGGAAGTGATGCAGCGTGGCCAAGCCGCGCTCGGTCACGCGGGGGCATCGCGAGAGCGAGAGCGCGCGCAGGGAGGGGCCGAGCGCGTGCAGGCGCGCCAGGGCCCAGTCGTCCACGTGGGGGCAGGCGCTGAGGTCCAGGAGCTCCAAGCGGGAGAGGGGCACTGGGGGGGGGGTATAGGGGGTCCCATAGGGGTGTATGGGGTCCTATAGGGGTCTCATAGGGATCTATGGGGTTCTATAGGGCTAGATAGGGGTCTCATAGGGGCCTATGGGGGTCCTCTAGGGCTATATAGGTGTCCTACAGGAGTCTATGGGGGTTTTATAGGGCTATATACGGGTCTCATAGGGGTCTATGGGGGTCCTCTAGGGCTATATAGGGGTCTCATAGGAGTCTATCGGGGTCCTATAGGGCTATATAGGGGTCCCATAGGGGTCTATGGGGGTCTATAGGGCAATACAGTGGTCTCATAGGGGTCTATAGTGCTATATAGAGGTCTCATAGGGGTCTATGGGAGTCCTATAGGGCTATATAGGGGTCTCATAGGGGTCTATAGTGCTATATAGGGGTCTATGGGGTCCTATAGGGCTATATAGGTGTCTCATAGGGGTCTATAGTGCTATATAGGGGTCTATGGGGTCCTATAGGGCTATATAGGGGTCTCATAGGTGTCTATAGTGCTATATAGGGGTCTCATAGAGGATTATGGGGTCCTATAGGGGTCTCATAGGGGGCAGTGGGGTCCTATAGGGCTATACAGGGGTTCCATAGGCATCTATGGGCTCCTATAGGGCTATATAGGGGTCTCATAGGGGTCTATGGGGGTCCTATAGGCCTATATAGGGGTCTCATAGGGGACTATGGAGGATTTATAGGGCTAGAAAGGGTTCCCATAGGGGTATATAGAGGTCCCATAGGAGTTGATAGGGTGCTATGCGGTCCTACAGGGCTATATAGGGGTCTCATAGGGGGCAATAGGGGTTCTATAGGGCTATATAGGGGTCCCACAGGGGCTATGGGGGTCCTGTAGGGGGCTATAGGGGTCCTATAGGGGGCTATGGGGGTCCTATAGGGGGCTATGGGGGTCCTATAGGGGGCTATGGGGGTCCTATAGGGGTCTATAGGGCTATATAGGGGTCCTATAGGGCTGCATAGGGGTCTGTGGGGGTCCTGTAGGGCACCCCGTGCTCTCACCCACGTTGTCGAGCCCGCTGTAGGTGACCGGGCAGGCGCTGAGGTCCAGGCCCCGCACGGGGGCGCTGCGGAGCTCCAGGACCTTGGCCTGCCAGGGCCCATGGGGCCGCAGCCACTCCTCCTGCCCCTCGTATCTATGGGGCGGGAGCGGAGTCAGGGCCAGCCCCACACTTATGGGGCACACGGAAACCCCTTTCCCCCCCCAAGTGTGGGGCAGGGCCTCACCTGACACCCCCCCCTAAGGACAGGGTGAAGGCAGCAGCAGCCATGTCGGGTCCATAGGTATCCCTTAGGTACACGTGGCTCCTATAGGGGGGAATGTGGGGCTGGGTGCAGCCCCTATGGGTCTGCCCCACGTGTATGGGGCTGGGTGCAGCCGCTATGGGTTTTTCCCATATGTATGGGGCTGGATGTAGCCCCTATGGGTCTGCCCCGCGTGTATAGGGCTGCATCCAACTCCTATGGCTCTGCCCCATGTATGTGGGGCTGGACACAACCCCTATGGCTCTGCCCCACATACATGGATGAAACTCTCCCCACATCCCACCCCACCCATTGGTGCTTTCCAATCCACTGCTCACCCCGCACCCCGTAAGTGGGGGTCCTTCCCCATAAGTGAACACCCCCCCGACACATAAGCGAGATCCTGCCCCATAAGTGTGGGTCTGGCCCCATAAGCGAGGTCCCGCCCCAAAGTGTGGGTCAGGCTCCATAAGCGAGATCCCATCCCATAAGTGTGGGTCTGGCCCCATAAGCGCGGTCCCACCCCCCATGTGTGGTCCCCACCCCATAAGTGCGCTCCTGCCCCCTAAGTGTGGGTCCTGCCTCATAAGCAAGATCCCACCCCCCAAGTGTGGTCCCCACCCCATAAGCGAGGTCCCGCCCCCTAAGTGTGCATCCCGCCCCATAAATGCAGTCCCACCCCATAAGTGTGGGTCCCGTCCCCTAAGTAACTTCCCGCCCCATAAGTGAGGTCCCGCCCCCCAAGTGTGGGTCCCGCCCCACGCACGCATTGATTCGGTGCAGCCGCAGCCGCCGCAGGCGCTCGGCCCAATTCAGCGCCGCTTCCACGTCATAGAACCAGCGGCTGAGGCCCTGCAGGAGCCGGTGCGCGGGGCCCTGCGGGCACGGAAGTGGGGCGGAAATAGGGGGGGAACGACCCGGAAATAACGGGGAGGGGGCCGGAAATGGGAGGGAAATAACGGGGGGAAATAGGACGTCCGCAAGGGTACGGCCGTAACTTACCGCCCTGGGCGCAGCCATGTTGGATGTGCCATGTGATAACCACGTGGTCTGGTGTAGACGCCAGCGGGGAAGCCACGCCTCCTGGGGGCGTGGCCAAGTGCGGGAGTTGGGCAGCAGGGGGCATTGGGATGCACTGGGATGCATTGGAACGCATTGGAATACACTGGGATGCATTGGGGTGTATTGGGATGCACTGGGACGCATTGGAACGCATTGGGATTGTGTTCCCCCCCATGTTACAGGCTCCATTCCCCCCCTTATCCCTTTATTAGTGCCTTAAATATGGATTAACCCTGATCCCAGATCCATCTGTGCCGGGGTGGGGGGGGCAGGAACCCCCCTATGGAACCCCCCCATAGACCCCTCTAT